GGTAAACAAACGTATCTATCTTTGAATCTATGCGACCCAATTTTCTCACGAACCACACTACGCAGAAACTCGTCGAAGGTACCAAAATTTCGGGAATGATCCAAGGAATCCGTTTTGACTATTTATATTCCAATTAGTTAAAAAGATATTAATTAAAAACCTTACAACACATAATTAGTACCATTTTTCAGCGCCAGGGGAAAATTCGGAACTTTTTTTTTCAGACGTTTTTAAAACGCGATCTAATTTTTTTCATGAGATTCACACAAAAAATAATTACAGATTCGGAAAGATCATTTACTTCGCCACGATATGCTATAATTTATTTTACAAAAGAATTATATTTTGTATTTTTTACGATTTTTTTAAAATGAGTCGAAATCGAGACGTTTTTATGAATACGATTTCTAAATCATTCCGCTTGCACTTTCTTTCGCGTTAATGAAAAAAATATTTTACACTAAAAAAGTTCATGGTTTTCTCTTATAGAATCAGTCATTTAAAAAATTTAATGTCAAAAACTGTTTTTTTTTTTTTTTTACGATTTTTCAAAAAATACTCAAAATTTTATTTAAATACTTAATAATTTCTTTGTTTATAAAAATAATCTCACGAAGCTTTTTTTTCCATGTGTAAAACAATATTATACGTAATCTGTACAAAGATTGATAAAATATCTTAAAAATTACTGTTTTTTTTTTTAAATGTGTTTTTCGTTTTTTTCCCCTTTTGCGAGAAATATGTAAGCATTACTTTTTTTTAAGTTTTTTGTTTAAAAATTACGGTTGCTTGCAATTGATATATGAAGGCATTAACTTAAAAATGAAGCCTGGAAAAGTTTTTTAACAAATAACGCAATTTGTGAAATTGAACATTGAAACAAATGGTTTTATTTATCATTTATTTATTGTAATGATTGCTAGATGGCGCCACCAGACAGAGTACTTGGAGGTTTTCCCCCTAGTGGGAAAACCGGTAGTGAATTGATTAAGACGGTGGATTTTCTATTGTACGCATCGCGCGGGAAGTCCTTCCCCACGTGTTCCTATAATATATATATTAATCCTAGAACTGCATAAATGTACCTGTGTACAGTAAATAAACTGTATTTAGCCCTGAGGTGAATAAATTTCATCTAATGATCTATCCATTCATCCCAGCGTGCTAAAACATCTGTTTATCTTTTTATTTTAAAGGTCTTTTCACTGCTTCTCCCCGAAAGACGTGCTATTTTCCAAACTGTAGTTTCCAGGTTAGAATCTGGATCTCTTTGTGAGAAATATTTTAGCATTATTTTTGTTTCATTTTTTGTTTAAAAATTACCGTTGTTCGCAATCGATGTGTTAAGTTTGAGGCATTAACTTTCAGCCCGTTACGTTTGATGAAAGGTTACACTAGAAAAGAAGGTGCTCCTATAAATATTGAA